TGCGTTGTTTGGTCATTACACTGATCTTCTCACCTTGTGTACCTGTAGGATGTCACGTCCTAGGAGCAGTAATATCTGAGCTTCTGGGTTAAGTAGAGGGATGTGCTGAGCAATGGAGTTGAGATGAGTATGATTCTCTGCTACTTCTGGTGTAGGTATTTCTGACCTGTCAGTAGGTATGTAGTTGCACTCTATGAGAGTCGGAAGATTTATACTCAGACTTCCATCCAGAGGTTTTGCTATGAAGCCTGTTGCTCTCCTCCCAGACATCTCAGTGAGACCCGCACACGTCCGGAGAGTGTAGAAAGCTTCTGTGCCTTTAAGGTCGAAGAGGTCAAAGAACTCAGATCTGGCCAGGGATCTGTTGCTCTGGTCATCCAGAATAGCATAGAGTCTCACAGACCTTTTTGCTTGTTTACTAGGATGCATTGTGATGAGGCAGATCTTAGAACATGAGTGTGGACCGTTACCTGATCCGCAGACCTCTGTACACTTTGAGTTCACTGAAGGTGATGACTCCCCATCCTCCTCCCCGCCGTTCTCTGACTTAGGGTTCTGGCCAGCCCATGGAGCAGGTCCAGGGTGAAGAGCTGCCATATGCTTGTCGCTGTTACATTCCTTACACTGAACTGTAATTCTACAATCCTTGGCAAAGTGTTTCCTTGAAGAACAACATCTGAAACATATGCCAGTCTGTTGGAGAAACTTCTTGCGTTCTTCCATGGTTTTGGTTCTAAAACCTCTATAATGTTTGAGGGGGTGAGGTTTTTTGTGGATGGGGCAGAGTTTGTTGACATCTGGCCTAACAGTGAGGGTCTCTATAGTGTCAGAGTTAGATGTAGAAGCGACCTCTGTCTTGTGTGAGGAGACAAAGTTTCTGGAGGTGCTCATTTTCCTTGTGGCGTTATCTGGTTTTGTCATTGTAACAGCTGAAGATGACAAAGCAAAATTGGGATCGTTGCGGATGTCGGCTTCTCGACAAACAAAGTCAGCAAAGAAAGCAAATGGTGGAAAATGCACGTTGTGTTGTGCCTTGTAAATACTGCCGTGAGAGATCAATTTGTCTTGGAGACTGAATGGCAACTTCTCCACTATGGGATTTAGTCCTCTAGGGGTGTCCAGGCAAGCTCGCCTGGGTATGTTGCCCTCGTACTGTGCTGATGCTAGCTCTTATAGCAGGTCACCAAGGTCTCTGAGCTTTTGAGGATCCTTATTACTGAACTTGGGTAACTTCTCCACTCTGTCGAAAAGAGCCTTCTCAATCATTTCTGGTGACCCATAACACTCCTGAAGGGACTCCAGACCTCTTGCTGCATCATGGACATGGACAGCTCTAATCCTCCTGACATGTGCTGAAGACTGAGGACCTAACCAATTAGTTAGCAGATCCAGCTCTTCACTGCAGGTAAGATTTGCTTCTTGAATCGAGTTTAAGAAGCTTGACCTCCACCCCCAGTAGCTTTCGGGTCGATCGTCAAACTTGGTAAGACTAGAGCAAAGAAGTTCTTGTCTAGCAAGGAATCTAGCAATTTCACCAAATCCTGTATGATCAACGGAAGGAGTCTTAGGTGCTTGCTTACGGAGAGCAGATGGGAATGGCTGCGGTGACCTAGTCTGTAAGAAGCTGTGATGATAAGCATCAGGTTCCCGCTTAGGAAGTTGGTCAACTAGAAGACGTGAACCAGCCTGAGGGAGAATATCGAAGCGGTCTCGAGCGGCACCATGAAATGCGGCAGGATTGTAATGTGCCGGGTCAGTGAGTACACCGTGAGAGGCTTTAGAATGACACTCAACATATTCACTGGTTCTTTCTTGTGCAGCCTGACGTGGTAGGGATCCAATCTTTGAAGCAACTACAGAGCCTCTCTCTAATTCTGCTGCAGTAAACTCAAGAACTTCCGCCTCTGCTTCAGCTGCAGTCATTTCTTTGTCTAGCTTTAATGTGGCGAGAGCAGCATCCATATTAGCCTTTTCAAAAAGTAAATAATTCCCTTTCTGGACAAAGGCTGTGCGAGCATGTGCTGCTAAAACTTTAGCCCGTGCTTTAGCTGCAGCTAAGCTTGCAGAGCTCTTCTTCGTGCTTGTGCTAGAGCTTGAGCTGCTAGCAACAGACCTTGTAACAAAGGTTTTATCTTCTGTCTGCTGTCCTGTGTGTGGAGCAGTGTCCATCTTGTAACTTTCAAGGATGAGAGGTTTGCATAACCCACGTCAATCAAAGAAGATAATTCTATCAATCGTGAGGGAATCCCCTGTGTAAGCCTGCTGTGATGCTGTTTTTTTTACTATTCTGGTACCTGTGATAGAATCACATATCATCCATTAATATATCTGATTAGTCATGTAGCAGTAGGACTATAAAGTGTATTACTGCAACATCACATCTGAGGCTACTCTTCTCTGTACTGTAGGCCTACATACACAAAGAACATAGATCTGTAAATTTATACTACTAAAGACATTTTTTTTTAAACTTTTTTTTATTTTATCCTAAGTAATCTGTACTGATTTGTATATATTTTAAAGGCAACAGTATAAATACAGTATTTTAAGTTAAACACTAACTATTTGTGCTTCTGCATTAATGCAATCCTGAACAGCTGTTTCCTTAAAATGTAATTATTTTATTGTACTTAATTTGTGTATTTATGTCGCTTTGGCAGTGTAAATATTTGATTTCCGTCACACTTAACCCTTTGATATCCTCTACATCTTTCTACATTGTACTGTATGTATCTTATAATAATGTTTGAGCGTTTTTATTGCATGTCCTTGTCGAACAGTCATTACATTTCACTGCGCACCCTACTGTATGAGCATATGACAAATAAAAAGCTTGAATCTTTCCATGCCAATAAATCCATTTTTAATGGAATTGAAGCTAAAATGCAAAGATGTTTACAATCTGAACCAAAGAGTTACGACTTGCCTCTTTGTCTGTTTGTAAGAGGAAAAAGAAAAATCTCCATCCAGAAAAAGTTTGGCCTAGTGCAAGTTTGTTGTGCAGTTATTATTTGGAAAGGAGAAGAATGGGAACCTACATGTTCCCTGATGTGCTCATCTGGAAGCTATAAAGAGAGCTCTGCTAATGCATCAGGAAACAATTTAAGTGTTTGCACAGCAGATAATAATGAGGCTTTTACATTTGACATTTGAATAGAAGACAGATGAGTAGAGAGTGGGCCATACCAGTGTTTATTATCACCATGCTGGCACAGTCACTGCAATCCAATGTGTTATATGTTAAAATGTTACAGCATGATAGCTGTAACGGCAGACAATCACACTTTCAAATTAACAATGATGAATAAATCACAATACGTCATTGCTGTCCAGAACTTTAAGACGCAGCTCTTAGGCCCACAGTTATGGTGGGGGGACAGACTCCAACACAAGTGATCCCATTTCTCAGTCATGCTTTGAGGTGTCATATAAAGTACAGTACAGTGCAGAGATTCAAAGTCCAAGAAACATAGCTTTCTTTACTTTTTTTTATTCATGTTTTTTTTTAACATGGCATGATGCAGTAAAATAAAAGCGACACCCCATCCATCAGTGTCACACACATGGACTGACTTCCCTTTAAGCTACAACAATTCTGACCTCAAGGCACATTGCTGGATTGACAATCAAACATTAAAAAATAATAAAAAGAAACAGAGAACATAAATAAAAGCAGAAAATATAAATGGCTGAAGATCATTATCAAAAGCGCCCTAAAGCAGTGGTACTCAACTGGTCTAGCCTCAAGGCCCACACCAACTTCCATCCATCCACTATCTTTGATGCTTTGAAGGTTACGGGCGGGCTGGACCCAATCCCAGCTGCCATTGGGTGAGAGGCAGGGTAGACCAGCTACACCCACATTCACACCTACGGGCAATTTAGTGTCACCAATTGACCTAACGAGCATGTCTTTGGACTGGAGTCCTGTGGTAACTGGAGTACCTGGAGGGAACCCACACATGCACAGGGAGAACGTGCAGACTCCACAGAGAGCACTCCTGTCCAGGAACCTCCTCGCTGTGAGGCAACATCACTAACTGCACCACCATGCAGCCCTCAACGCCAGCTCCTTCTTTAGAAATCGGGACCATAATATCTGATATTTCTCAACGAATGAGATTTATTAAATAAAAACTAAACATGGGACATGTTTTTATAGTGCTTCATAGACTTTTAGAAACTTTATTTTCTCCAGGCACACATTGGTGATCCACTTTTTGGTCCTGACCCACCAGTTGAGAACCAGTGCTCTAAAAGTATAAGTGTAAACATTTTTAAGCTACCCTTGTAGGAGAAGAACCTTTAATTTCAGCACAGGTTATACCAAGTGAGCGGATGATTTAACAGTAAATACAGTCAGTGGTTATGATTCATAAAAGCACAACAGGAGAGTTCCTGTCTGGTCACTAAAAGTGCAAAGCAGAGGTTTTCATTCAGGCTGCAGGGTTACTGGTGACCTCCTCCAGCAGGGGTTTGTAGAGTTGGGGGTCTTCAGGACTCTAACAGAGAAGAGAGAAGAAAGAGAAAATCATATGAAAAGGTGCAGACACAATCAAATCTGTGAGAATTTCACACATTTACAGAGTGACTACACACATTGACTGTGCATGGTAAATGGACTTGAGCTTGTATAGCACACTACACATTCACACCCTGATGGCAGAGGCTGCTATGTAAAGTGACCATCAGAAGTAACTAATCTATTCATACACATTAATATGCCGCCAATGAAGCAGTGGGGGTAACTTTGGGTTAAGTGTCTTGCCTAAGGACACATCGGACATGTTGCTGAAGGCGCTGGGGATCAATCCCCCAACCTTCTGGTTGAGAGATGACCGACTCTACCACTGAGCCACAGCCTGAATGTGTAGACTCTACCTTGTTCTTCTCTCTCTTCTGAATGAAGCAAAGAGCCTTGATCCCCAAGACAGCAGAGCTGATGACCACACAGAACTCCAGGACGGACAGAACAATCAGCACGGCGTTGATGCTTCTCAAAAGCATCTGATGGGACACAAAAGAAACAGTGACGCGTTTAAAAGCTGTGAATATCTGTAGGAAGCTTCTGACAAACTCATTTTGAGAGTTTCTTCATAGTCAACTTGTTTTAAGTCTGTATCATCATTAGCAGCAGTTAACTTTGAAGACGAAACATATCTGTAAAACAATCACAGCCGTCTCATTTCCATTCCTCAGCGACACACAGCTTGTATTGTCATCGGTCAGATAACATTTCCCCCACACATACATACCAGAGTTATTGCATAGACCTCCAAGCATTTAGTCTTATCAGGAGATGGAGTTGTTGAAGTGTGTCGGTTGTAATCATAATTGTAATAATGATTATTTTCACACATCCACCACAACCAAATGTTTGAAATGTTGATGCTGTAGAGCACGATGGCTGCAATGGAGAAAGCAACTCCTGAGAGATTCAGAATCACGTTGAGGATAACCTGTAGAAGAAAAATCTCAATGTATGAACAACCACACATGATGAATGTACAAACTCCTCCTATTTTATGATCTCTATATGAAGACAGATTAAAAGTTGGCGACTCAATGAAAGCTAACAGGAGGATTTTATAAAGCTGGTTTACTCACCAGGCAGGGACTTGGACGCTTCTCAGACACGATGCTCACGACACCAAATAAAATAAACTAAAGAGAGAAGAGACAAAAACATTTAAACTTCCATTTTTTCACACCAACTCTGATACCCATAATCACTACTAATATCTTCTACTTTACTGTAATATTAGTCAATCCAAAGATGCAAGGGGAACACTTGAGTAAGCATGTTGTTCATTTCAATGTTTTATATGCATTCAACTTTTAAGTCAATCATCTGAACAATCCTGGAGTCACCTTGTCCTCTGATCTTAAAGGTTCTTCTTCTCCTGCATGCTACAAATCACTTTGTTGCTTGGAGGACTGTCTCCTTACATGAGGCGCAGATAGCCTAGCTGTTTGGTTGCTCCCCATGTAAGGAGGATACAGCTTCTTTTACCATCTGCTTTCAACAGGTTTAAGATTCAGGATTCATCTCTCAGATAGTAAAACAACTCTCCATACTTTGACCTTTACTCGAGGTTGGAGACGGGGTCGATTGACTGGCCAAAGGATGTAGTGTTTGTTTATCTCAGGCACTTGTAGCTCATAGCTAAATGCTAATGTCAGCATGCCAACGCGCTCACAGTTACATTGCAAAGCAGGTCCTGTCCTGTAGGAAGAAAACCGGCAGCTGAATCTCCAACAGAGCAGCCCCAATAAAGTTACTTTAACTTTACTTTAGTTTTGTAAGGGCTTTGGGATGCACATATTTAAATACACACAAAAAAAACAACAACATAAAAAACAAGTACAACATGAGTTTGCTTACCAGTCCTCCCATCCAAAAGGGATACATGTATTCATCCATTTGCCACCGAGAGCCAGACCCAGAGCTACAGAGGATCGCTGCGAGGCCGATGTTCAGCAAACCAATCATGATTTGCAGAGCCTGATGGGGGAGCAAACACAGTATGAGCGCCACACACCTGTACAGTTTAAAAGTAGTTACCAGGTGTCAAGATTAAAGTCATCTGGAGAACAACACGGAGGGGGGGGGCAGAGAATCCTGTTAGAGGACCTCTGTCTCATAGTTTCATTGTTTACTCAATGTTCCTATCATATATAAAACAGAACATTACCTGAAGACCCGAGACAGGTACAGAGCCCAGACAGTGTCATGAAAACACTCTGCAAATGAGACTTTGTCCTCATAGCTCTTTTCAGATGTTTTTTTTTAACTCAGCTCAGCGGTCATCACAGTTTTATACATTTGTATTGATTCTGTGACAGCGTAATGTTGGTGTCCCAGTCTGAGACACACACAGCGCTGCGCTCCCCTGCTGGCTCCGCTGAAACCGGCTCGCCTCTGTTACTACCACTAAAGACGGTGGGATCACTTCATCCCCCCATTACACTCTGCAACACTCAGATTGAAGGTGAAACGTCACAGGGGAGTAAATACCGTCAAACAGAAATTAAATCTTCTGGCAGAACAGAACTGAGTGGGTGAAGGAAAACGTATGTGTGTACATTTCATAGAGATACTTCAAACATGAGCTTGTTACTTACCCCCAGGACTGACTGAGATGAGCCCTGGAGCTTCTTCAGATGCTGGGACACAGAGCAGCATATAGGGCTGTAACAAAGGCCTTTGAGGATTTGGCATATTGGAGGTAAAACACTTTGGGGGTCCGAGGTCAAAGTGAGCACAGTGACCCCTTCAGCCTTGGTCATGGTCACAGACATCCTGCCTGCTCCGACAGACTGAAAACACAAGAGAGTAACTGCACAATCAGTTTGCTGTTTCTTATTCCTTAAGTTTTAAAATAGTTACAAGCTGAATCTAAATGTCAAAGTAGTCCTCATAATCAGTTTTGCTGACTGACTGACCTTTTCTTTTGGCTGACATTTATCGTCTCTTCTATTCCCTCTGACCAAAGTTTCACACAGTCAGTGAACTTTTTACACTTTGTCATTGAACCTTGAAGTGATTTTATGAACCTGTAAGTTCTTAGTCTGTGTTGCATAAGGTGACACTAACTTCTCCACATCCGGATTGAAAGTTGTCAGGAGTATATACAAGCATAGTCTAAAGTCCGCCCCCTAATAAAAGCTGACACTTGTACAAATGAAGTTGATACCTCCTGGCCTTACAGGAACTCCTGGAAACTTTAGGTTTTTGGACTTCGGTAAAGTTAGAAATATATTCACAGATTCGGCTTTCCCGGATCAATAACTCATCAGCGGAACATTTCTTTTACAAAACAGACACCTCTCTGCAATCACAACAAGATAGACTGGGAGCTACATTCATATTTTCCTCATACTCGAATGCGCAGGGACCGTCTGCAAATTGCAATACCGAAAAAAAATTATACAGAAATATTCAATAACTTCACCCAGGAGAGGTGTAGTGTCATGAAAATCATTTTACACATATGTGATCTCATGTTTCATACTACATTTCTTAGATTGGAAAATAATACTTTTAAAAAACCTTTGAGGATTTTTTAATTGCCTATAAATAGCCCAATGTTCAATAAAATCCCCTTTTGTAAGGTGTAGGGTAAAACAATAATCCCATTATGAATAAATGTCCTCCTGCTCTATAAACTACATCACATTGCTTTGGATAAAGGGCTTTCATGTAATTTCAGTGATTTTTTTGTCATGAATATATTTCTAACTTTACCAAAGCGGTTTACGGTACATATTCAAAGACGGCCATTGTGAACATCCTGTCTCAAAAAGATACTTTGAAACCTGGTTGTAAATGTATTTATCTGTGTTTGCCATTGCTCTTTATCATATGAGTATTATGATACAACTTCATTGTACTTCATGTATATTGTATACTATGCTGTATTATTTAATTGTATATCTGGTTTTAGTATTTGTATATATTTCTGATATTAGGCATAGACAGGCTTGCTCCAACAGCATTTCGTTGTACTTGTAATCCTAAACAGTGACAATAAAGATATCTCATCTCATCTTAAACAAGTGTGCCAGGGGGTATTGGGCGCCGATTATAAAGTTGCGCACACTACAAATAACAACAAATCTTAGCTAAATATTTAGAAATCAAAGCTAAATATTTAGTTTATATTCTATATATTTAGCTTTGATTATAAATATTTACAATCTTAGCTAAATATATAGGATCAAAACTAAATATTTAGAAACGTAGCTAAATATTTAGAATCAGGACATGTATTTTTAACATTTATATATAACATTTAACATTTAGATAAAACATTCAACATTTATATTTGCCTTTGAAATTGTCTTACATTTTTATTCACAAAAGTACATTTGAAAATGTTCACAAATATTTCTCTAAATGTGAATAAAAAGTGATGTTTTAGGGCTAAATGTGGAGAAATGTTGTTGTTATTTGTAGTGTGCGCAACTTTACAATCTGCGCCCCTTACAGGGGTTTTGTTCTTTATTTCTTGTGGATCATTGTTGAGGACAGCCAGTCCATGTGCTTAACTGTCATTGCAAACATAATTTTCACAAGCCATTTGTTTACATTATAGGCTAGTTGTTAACTGTGTTTTTTTTCTTGTCGCCACTCTTTTCTTTTCTTGCTTAAATCTAGAAAACGATGTTACATTTTACTTCCGCACCCTTCCTACACTGAGCCCTATTTGAGAAGTTTTTTTTTCAAAAACTACGAGCATATTTTTCACAACACAAAAAAGAGCTAATCATTAAACTCTCGATGTGATTTAATAACTGTAATCCAGTTTAAAGCATTCAGTACTCACATAAAGGTTTTTTGGATGAAGTTTTTTGGAAGTTGATGAAGTCTGTCTCACTCGATGAGCTGGATTTACTTTTATTAAGTAAACAAGACACACCTACGTATTGGTATTATCCCATGATATCTTTTTCTAACTAGAGTGCTGCTGTCTCAGTAGCGTTGTGCTCAGCGCTGCCTCTGGCGGTCGGAGGCTGTACTGCATTAGCATATCCTCTTAGTTTAATTCTGACCTTTAAAACATTTCAGGCACAAACAATGTTCATTGCGAAAATAGCTAGTAACATTGCTTTGGCAAAAAATCACAATGTTTTTAAACGATTCTACGTCATTGTTATTGTAATGTGGCGTCCAGCCACGAGGGGCAGCACTGAGCGCCTTTGCCTACGAGTAGGCCAGCAGACTTTCTTTTTTTCTTTTTTTTTATAAAGGGAGGAGAAACGAATCATTTTCCAGAAGTACTTCCCCATCTGGGAAATGTGTAGAAAATTCGTCCATTAATCAAGAAGACAAAAGTGACTTCTCTCTTTATGCGATTCTTACATCTACATCATCAGCATGACGCAGGGCTGAAGGATGAATAAAGTCAAAGTCATCTTTATTGTCAACTTGTGCCATACGTATAATGGACATAAAATGTCTTTGAGAAGTCAATTTATTCCAAGTGCAATAAACATCCTTAATCTCACTATATGACTGATGAGATCTAAACCGTGATTGAATGTGTAAGTGTAGCTGCTCTGCTTGTCTGTGTTACTGACTGCCTGAATGTTTTTGTGCTGTTTTATGCATTTGGAGAGCCTAAAAAAAGATGTGCATTCAAAATAAATGTGCAGAGTAGAATAGAGGATAGGTTTTATCGCACAGATTCAGCAACACATTGTAACAAACACAAGAAATATACACTACAGGTAATAACACTGCTTAAACATACACCCTTTATACAAATGTAAAAAGAGACAATGAAACAACAGACTGTTTTGAGACTTATTGCATTTAAATTATTGCACACAACAGTTTTTCACCTGTAGCTACGTTTACACATTAATAGTTCTGAACATATATTATCTCACATTACGCTGTTGCACTTATTTGGTTCATGGTAATTGTTTCTATGTTGTTGCACTTATTATCCATCATGTTGGTCAGATGGGTGATGTTCTACGTTCCACCTTATGTCATGTGCTTTGAGTCTGATGTTGGCTGGAAAGAAGTGGACGTAGACCTGAGATGAGAGTCCTAAGAAAGAGAATGAGACAGAGAGTGAAAACTCAGATGAAGACCTCGATGAGGTGGACAAAGATCCAGAGCCAGATTAAGTGTACCGTCATCTGCACCATCATCTGGTGCCATGTGCAACACTGCATTTTATATATTGCACTTTACAACATGAACAATTTTAGTTTGAAATGTTCCATATTTTGTCCATTTTCAGGTTTGTACTTTTATTTGGGGTGTCTACTATTAAAAGTTTTCATGCTTTATAATGTTCAAAAACCCTTTATTTTTCTCATCCTGTCCATTGATGCAGTAGTATTATTAACCAGCTAGTCATATTCTCCATTTTCTGTCTCTTTAACACCTTCTTCCAGGTCCAGTCTCCTCATTAGTCTACTGAATGAAAGAGTTGTATTGAAGTTTGCTCTCATTTCTAACAGGTCTACAGACATTATATTGTAGCAGTGTTAGCGTGCTATACTGTTATCAATGTTTAATTGCACCTAATTATGTTAATTAGGCGCCTTATTTGATAACACGTGCTGTATTCCATGTAGTAGGGAGACCTCTGCTGGACATTTTGCGGAAGTGTGTTTATCATGTATAAATGTATGTTAGATTTTAGTTTGGTATTTAGTTAACTTATATATGTTTGGTGTTGTTTATTATTATTTAGCTTTTTAAACACGTTTTCTCATGCATATGTGCACCGCTGTAATACACCTTTAAGAAGTTTTTCATGATGCAAAAACGAAATCATTTATGAGAAGTTGTCTTTTATTTTCATGTAAATAGGTCAGACAAAGGGATATTGCAATAAATCATTTGCAGCTGTAATTATTCGACATGAGTATGAGTTGCAAGGTGAAGATTTGCAGATATGACTCATCAAATCAACGACTCATTCAATCCATTCTGATGTCATTAATGTCCCTAAAATGTTCTTTAGAATCTGAAGCAGGTCATCAACGGCTCAGATTAATATTGATTAGGGCTGCACAAATATTCAAATAGAAGACACCAAGTGCAATACTCCCCCCCTCTCCTTTTCTTCTAAATGTACAGATAACCTGCATTATATTAAAATGCAGCTGCAGGTGGTCTGGCCTACACCCACATCTTTGTGGTTTTGAGAGGGATCGTCAGTGAAAATATTACATTTCATTTCACGTCCTGTAAATCATATCACAACAGTCACATCTGTCAAAAAGTCAGATTATAACTCCCCCCCCCCATATCCTGCAGCCTACATGAGTTTGTTTAACAGGCAAAAGAGAAACAACTGTTGGATTTCATTGTGTTCATAGATTCTCCAGTGAAAGAAAAGCATCTTAATTCATTGACAAGCCCGCCTCGTGACATCAGAGCCTCCATCACGTCCGTGTTTGGAACATAAATTGATTCACGCTGATCTTAACTTCTCCAATCAAACGAGACACACATCTTGATTGAAGTCCAGATCCCTTTAATCAAACACTACTCTTTGGACTTCTTTTTCTTCTTCTTTGGAGGAAGTGCCTCCTCGTTCACAATGTCCTCTACAGATGTTTTGTCCTTTTTACATTTTTTCCTTTTCTGCCTCACTGTTGATTCTTCCTCTGTGACTTCTGCTTTGTCCAACTTATCAGCACGTTTTTTCTTTTCGGCTGTCAGAACAGAGACCTCGGCTGGCTCTGATTGGCTGGATTCTGCAACATTACTTTCCTGTCCCTCAGCAGGTTCACTTTGATGTTTGGAGGATTTCTTCTTCTTTTTCTTCTTCTTCTTTACCGTGGCGTCAGCGTGCAGCTCTGTGGTCTCCTCTGGACTCTCTGCTGCAGGTGAAGACGTTCCTTCTTCTTCCTCGTTCTGCTCTGCGCTCTTTTTCTTCTTTTTATCTTTCCTCTTTGTTTTGTGTGGACGCTCTGCTTGAACGTTTCCTACAAAGATCACGTCCTCATCAGGAGAAACTGCATCGATTATTTCCTCTTTTTTCTCGCTGCCTTTCTTTTTCTTCTTTTTCGGTATCTCATCTGTCTCA